CCTGAGGTCAGGAGTTTAAGACAAGCCCTGCCAACATGGCAAAACTCTGTCTCTACTAAAAATACAAAATTAGCTGAGTGTGGTGGCACATGCCCGTAGTCCCAGCTACTTGGGATGCTGAGACAGGAGAATCACTTGAACCCAGGAGGTAGAGGCTGCAGTGAGCTGAAATCGCACCACTGCACTCCTGCCTGGGTGAGACACAATGATGCTCCATCTCAAAAAAAAAAGTAGCTCGCCAATAAAACAACTTGGTGAAAGTAACATCACGCTCTAAACTTATGTCTCCCTTACAATTTGCACAAGAATATTAGGCCTATTGTCGCCTTCTTACATTGCCACATAGCACCAAGAGTCTGTAGTTTTGAAAAAATACAACACAAGCCTGGGTGCAGTGGCTCACACCTGTAATCCCAGCACTTAGGGAGGCTGAGGAAGAAGGATCACTTGACATCAAGAGTTTGAGACCAGCCTGGGCAAATAGACTTTTATCTCTACAAAAAAAAATTTTTTTGATAGTGGTGCTTCGGGAGGTTAAGGCTGCAGTGAGCTGTGATCACATCATTGTACTCTAGCCTAGGCAACAGAGTGAGACCCTATGCCCCCCAAAAAAGTGAGGTAGATATGTTATCCCCATTATATCCGTGAGGAGACTGAGGCAGAAAATCTAGGCATTTTGCTCCAGGTGACACAGTTATTAATGGGCAGTGGTAAGACTGGGATTAGAAATGAGGCAGTCTGGCTCCAAAGGCCATTTGGCACACTTCCTGCTTTCTCAAGAAATTACCCTTAATATTTTTTGCCTTCCTTTTTAATAGCAACCAAAACTCTTAGCTGAGGCATCTCTGACTTGTTCCTGGTTGAAACAAAAAAATGGAAAGAGGATATCAGGCCCCAGTCTGTTCTGGCCACTCACGTCTCCTCACTTTCCCTTTTATACAATTCCCTCCCCCGCCAGTACACACACACACACTCACACACACACACACACACACACACACAACCTGAGCTATAACTCAAGGCTGGCAGGCAGATGGGTAAGTCTACCTGACACTAAAGCCCAAGCTCTTTATGCTGGTGGTCCACACACAGGGTGACAAGGTGTTTCCATTTACCTGGGATTTTTCCAGTTTTATCACTGATAGTTTCATGGCACTAGAAACCCCTCCCTCCAGAACAAATCAGGGCAGTTGGTCACTCTCTGCTCTATAACCCTGTCGGGGAGCTGTTAATAAACTGTGATGTCTGAAACAGCCCCACACTCCCACTTACAGAGCAAAGCAATTTTATCAGACTCTGGGGGAAGAGGGAGCAGACACTGCATTTTCTTTTTTTAAATTTCTTTTTTTTCTTTTTTTTTTGTAAAGCTAGTCAAATGAAGGGATATGCTGCATTTTCAAAAGCCTTCCCAGGAGACTGCAGTGTTTGCGCTGGGTGGAAAATCACAGTAAGTCTACCCTAAGCATCAGCTGTGTACTCTCAAGCTCTTGTGGACTCTTGATCAAACACTACCCAGCCCTCTGTTTCAGCCCACACAACTTGCAGTAATGCAGGGGCCTGGGTCTGGTTGTGCATTACAATCATGTGGGAAGCTTCTAATGCTTATCAGCTTGGGAAGGCAAAATGGTATAGCTGCTCTAGAAAACAATTTCTTAAGTTAAACACATGGCGGAGCACAACGGCTCATGCCTGTAAGCCCAGAAGTTTGGAAGGCCAAGGCAGGAGGACTGCTTGAAGCCAGGAGTTTGAGACTAGCCTGGGCAACATAGTAACACCCCATCTCTTAAAAAAAATTTTTTTTAATTAGCCAGGTATGGTGGCATGTGCCTGTACTTCTAGCTACCTGGGAGAGTATAGCAGGAGGATTATTTGAGCCCACTTTAGTTCAAGGCTGCGGTGAGCCATAATGGTGCCACTGCACTCAAGCCTGGGCAACAGAGTGAGACCTTGTCTCTAAAAGACAGAAATCTGAGCACGGTGGCTCACACCTGTAATCCCAGCACTTGGGGAGGCCAAGATCACTTGAGTCCAGGAATTTAAGACCAGCCTGGGCAACATAGTGAGACCTAGTCTCTACCAAAAAAAAAAAAAAAGAAAAAGAAAATCGGCTGGGCATGATAATGCACACCTGTAGTCCCAGCTTCTTGTTAGGCTGAGCTGGGAGGATCACTTGAGTCCAGGAGGTCCAGGCTGCAGTGAGCCTTAATCACCCACTGCTCTCCAGTCTGGATGACAGAGCAAGACTGTTTAAAAAAAAAATTAAACAAGTACTGACCATCTAGCCATTCCACTCCTAGGTATTGACCCAAGATAAATAAAATTGCATATCCATGTGTATGAATATTCATAGCAGCTTTAGTTGCAATAGCCCACAACTGAAAACAACCCAAATGTGCATCAACAGGTAAGCTGGCAAGCAAAGTGCGGGATATACATTCAGCGGAATCCTCCTCGGGAATAAAAATGAAATACTGATACATGTAATGACATGGATGGATCGCAAAAAATTATGTTGAAAGAAGCCAGACTGAAAAAAAAAAAGACTACATACTATGGTTCCATTTATAACAATTCTAGAAAATAGAGAAAATGTGTAGTTACAGGTAGTAGGTGAATGGTTGCCTGGGGATGGGGCTAGGAGAAGAGTTAGTGGTGGAAACGTTCATTATCTTGCTGTGGTGATGATTTCATGGCTATATACAAACTTACCACATAGCACACTTTAAAAACGTGCCGTTTATCAAATGTCACTTATACCTCAATATAACAATATAACCAATGTCCCAGCCCCATCCCAAGAGATTCCATGGCTGGGCACCATGGCTCACTCCTGTAATCCCAGCACTTTGGGAGGCTGATGCAGGCTGATGTAATCCCAGCACCTTGGGAGGCTGAGACAGGCGGATCACCTGAGGTCGGGAGTTGGAGCCCAGCCTGACCAACATGGAGAAACCCCGTCTCTACTAAAAATACAAAATGAGCTAGACGTGGTGGCACATGCCTGTAATCCCAGCTACTCAGGAGGCTGAGGCAGGAGAATTGCCTGAACCCAGGAGGTGGAGGTTGCGGTGAGCCGAGATCGCGCCATTGCACTCTAGCCTGGGTAACAAGAGCGAAACTCCGTCTCAAAAAAAAAAAAAAATTCCATTTTCTCGCCTGAAATGGGCACAATGTCTCACTCTGTCTCCAGGCTGGAGTGAGGTGGCGTGATCTGCAACCTCCGCCTCCCGGGTTCAAGTGATTTTCCTGCCTCAGCCTCCCGAGTAGCTGGGACTACAGGCATGCACCACCACACCCAGCTAATTTTTGAATTTTTAGTAGAGATGGGGTTGCATCATGTTGGCCAGGGTGATCTTGATCTCTTGACCTCATGATCCACCCACCTCGACCTCCCAAAGTGCTGGGCTGTCAGTACTTTTTAAAGGTTCCCAGCTGTTCTAAGATGTTGCCCTGAGTGAGAACCACAGCATGAATGCCTCCCACCCAGAGCCACTCCACAACCACTGAACGGATTAGTCACAATATTAAGAGTGATAAGGAGGTGAAGGGCAAGTTGTGGCGCTATAAGGATGTTGAAGATGTTGACTCATTAAGCCCAGTTTGGCTTATTAACAGATGACACCAGCAGAGAATAGCTAATTCCACTAGGGGGCATCTGGATGCTGCTCTTGAGCAGGGTCTGAAGTGTCATAGCAGCTTTAGTTGCAATAGCCCACAACTGAAAACAAGGCACTGTCTGAAGTGTGCTGAGTTCTAAGCACACGATGTTGTTCCTCTGACAGAGAAAGGACCCAGACTTGTTGGAAAACAACCAGAAACCTGGGAAGATGTCAGCAGGGCCAACTGTGCTCTCCTCAGCCTGACTTTGTAGGCAGAGGAAATCAGACTATTGCAACCTCAGTGTCATTTGAGGTTCTAGGGTACAATAGAGCTGAGCTATTTATTCAGGGACCAAGTAACTCCTGAAGAGTAAGTATGTTCTCAGCCAGGCACAGTGGCTCCCACCTGTAATTCCAGCACTTGGGAGGCATAGGTGGGAGGAGGACTGATTGAGCCCAGGAGTTTGAGACTAGCCTGGGCAACATAGTGAGACCTCATCCCTACAAAAATTAAAAAAATTAGCTGGGCCTATAGTCACACCTATTCTGGAAGCTGAGCTAGGAAGATTGCTTGAGTTCAAGAGATCGAAGCTGCAGTGAGTTGTGATCATACCACTGCACTCCAACCTGGGTGACAGATCAAGACCCTTTCTCAATAAAAATAAAAAATAGTGCAGGTGTGGTGGCTCACGCCTGTAATCCCAGCACTTTGAGAGGCAGAGGCAGGCAGATCACTTGAGCTCAGGAGTTTGAGACCAGCCTAGGCAACATGGAAAAACCCCATCTCTACAAAAAATACAAAATTAGCTGGGTGTGGTGGCACATGCCTGTAGTCCCAGCTACTCAGGAGGCTGAGGCATGAGAATCACTTGAACCTGGAAGGCAGAGGTTACAGCGAGCTGAGATGGTACCACTGCACTGTAGCCTGGGTGACAGAGCAAGACTGTCTCAAAAAAAAAAAACAAAAAATACATGACGTCCTAAAGGAGACCAAATGTCTTGTGTTTATAGCTCTGAGCGGAAACCACTGTCTGCGAGGGACTAGCACTTTATCTTCTCTCCCTTATTAAGGAATGTTCCTTACATTTTACTTTGTTTTGCTTGGGCCACATTGGCCTTTGGCAAGTCAAAGGATATCATGTTAGTAGCCCTGTTTGCTGTGACTCAGGTCCTCCTCCCCAGGCCTGTGGTCTCCTGCTTCTCACAGTCACTATCCCCACTGCACGCTACCTCTCCATTTCTCATCCCTGCTGCCACTGCTGGGCCTCTGCTCTACTGGCCACTAAGCAGAGCCAGAGCTGCTTTCTCAAGTGATCATGCAGTTTCGGTCAAACCTTACAGGATCAAGCGCTTAAGGGGCCAGAAATTGAAGGAGGGGCGCATTATTTGGGTCTTCCTCTTTATGCTTTACTCTCCCTTCTACCACTGAACATAAAGGAAGTCCCCAGAAGAGTAGATTTAAAAAAAAAAAAAACACTGAAGAATAACATCCATATCGGTTGTCAAACTCCCAGAATCCATCAGGAACCAGGCTTCAGAGAGGGCCGACGAATCCGAAGGCACCGGAGCAATGCATTGACTGTCAGCTGAGTTCTGTCCCTGAGTCAGAGCTCCCCAGGCTTCAGTTAACTCTGTCATGGTGATCACGCAGGCAGCCAGCCAGCCAGCCGTGCTTCTGTGAGAAAAAAAGTTTAGAAAATGTGATCTCATGGCCAGGCGTGGTGCCTCACACCTGTAATCCCAGCACTTTGGGAGGCCAAGGCGAGTGGGTCAGCTGAGTCAGGAGTTCCAGACCAATCTGGCCAACATGGTGAAACCCCATCTCTACAAAAATTAGGCAGGAATGATGGTGGGTGCCTGTAATCCCAGCTACTTGGGAGGCTGAGGTGGGAGAGTCGCTTGAACCTGGGAAGGGGAGGTTGCAGTGAGTCAAGATCACACCACTGTACTCCAGCCTGGGTGACAGACTCTGTCTCAAAAAAGAATAAAAGAAAAAGTGATTTATGTTAATTTCAGTGTAATGCTCTTTTATCTGTCAAGTATGTGTTTGGTGGCAGGGGTAATGGGAGGAGATTCCACATATGATTTTTCAAAAAGTATTCTGTTGTTAAAAAGTTTGCAGAGCAGTTTCCAACGTCCCGAAAGACCCTTCCTATGAACCCAAGCCAGTGGTGCAGATTTGGGTGCAGTTTTTTGGGTTTTTTTTTTTTTTTTTTTTGAGACAGAGTCTCGCTCTGTCACCCAGGCCTGGAGTACAGTGGCACAGTCTCAGCTCAGTGCAAAACCTCCACGTCCCAAGTTCACGCGATTCTAGTGACTCCACTTCCCGAGTAGCTGGGATTACAGGTATGTGCCACCACAACTGGCTATTTTTTGTATTTTTAGTAGAGATGGAGTTTTGCATGTTGGCTAGGTAATGGCAACAGGAGGCAGCCGAATGCCCAGGCAGATAGAGGCAAGTCAATGGTGAAACCCCACCTCCAAGCCAAGGACAGTTTAAAGCCTGAAAGCCAAGCTACAAGTTAAATCCTCGACCAGACTGAGAACTTGTCTTCCCGTTTGGCATGTTTTCTTCTGATTGATCCTCATCCTTCACCAATTGTACATATGCCTACCCTTTCCTAATTGGTTTTCTACACTGTCATGCTCACCTTGGAGTGGTATCTTCACTTTCATCTTTTTTGGATACTCACAAACCAGTCAGCATGCACTCCCCATTCTGAGTCCATAAAAGGTCCCAGACTCAGCAGCACAGAGGGAGAAACCACCTGACTACAGGGGTTGGGGACCCTCCCCCCATGGCCCCCAGCATCCCCTCTCCACTGAGAGCTGTTCCATCACTCAATAAAACTCCCCACCTTGCTCACTCTTTGATTATTGGCACATCCTCATTCTTGTTGGGTTAGGGACAAAAACTCAGGAATTGATGCACAGGTAGGCTGAGTGGGCTGGCTATCTCTTGCAGCAGGAGAATGAGGCCTGGGTAGGATACCACTTGCCGGAAAGCCCTGGCTTGCAAAGTGATCAATCAGAAAATCCTGTATTACAGACTGGCCTCAAACTCCTGGGCTCAATCTTCCTGCCTTGGCCTCCCAAAATGATGGGATTACAGGCATAAGCCACATCACCTGGCACACAGTTTTCAGGTCTTTTCAGAGAGTAAGTCTTTCCCTCCTCTAGACTTGAGGACAAGAGCATCATCCCTTCTCTCTGTTCAAAGTTGTGCCAAGGACCCAGACATCAGCCATAAAATTTCTAGTTCTCCCAGATGCTCAGGGCTTCTCTGGCCGGCCAATCAGTCAGAATTCTCAAGGTAGGTCTGCCCTCTGGAAATTCTGTGCCCACATGTCCCCAGGACCATGGCTACTTTCTGTTTCAGGCTTGGTTCAATCTCCTAGCATTCATTCTGTAGCTCCTCTTTCCATTCTATTTTTTTTTAAACCTTATTTTAGGTGTGGGGGCACATATGAAGGTTTGTTACATAGGTAAACAGATATCAAGGGAATTTGATGTACACATTATTTCATCACTTGGGTATTAAGCCCAGTACCTAGTAGGGATTTTTTTGTTGTTGTTCCTCTCCCTCTTCCCGTCCTCTCCCATCAAGTAGACCCCAGTGTCTGTTGTTTCCTTCTTGATGTCAGTGTGTTCTTATCATTTAGCTCCCACTTGTGAGAACATGTGGCCTATGGTTTTCTGTTTCTGTGTTTGCTAAGGATAATAACCTTCAGTTCCACAGTATTTTTCAACTGATGAAAAATTATTTTTATTAAATGCTGAATAGATTTTAAAAATTATATGTATATAGGGTATAAAGAATCATCTGATGAACCCCTGTGAACCCACCCTTCAGTTAAAGAAAAATCATATTAGAATTAATCCTGCAGTCCCCAGGATATTTCTCCCCAAACCCATTTTCTTTTCTCGCATTTCCAAGGCAAACACTAGCTGAATTTTGTGCTTACCATTTTCTTGTGTTTGACAGACTTCTTACGTATGTTTGAATCTGCAAAAAATATATTGTTCAGTTTGGTATGTTTTTAAACTTTACATAAATTGATTCATATGATATATATACCCTGTAAAAAATGTTTTTGAAATTCACCTATATTATTGCAAGTAGCTACAACTGACTGTTAAAATGCTTTATAGTATTCATGTATCATAGTTTTTAAAATCCATTTTACTCTTGATATTTGGGCTGTTGTCAGTGATTTCTATTATGAATGGTGCTGCTATAAACATTCTTGTACATATCTCCTGGTATACATTTAAGAGCAGCTCTTGTGAAATTTCTGTGTCAGTGTGTGGAAACATGTTTAAATTACCAAGATAATTCTAAACCATTTTCCAAAGTGGATGTCTCAATTTATACTCCATGATCAGTGACCATCTCATTCATAGTTCAACTCTGTAATCTTTATCAGCCTGGTAGATACAAAATGGTATTTTCTTGTAGTTTTGTTTACCAGGTTGTCAAAGAGGCTTACGGTATTTTCACATGCTCAGTGACCATTTGTCATTCTCCTTCTTGAAGTGCTTCTTCTGGGCTAACTCTTTAGTGAAGGTTGTGGGCACAGGCCCTCAAGGACAGATGGCCCAGAGTTAGTTTCTCAGGTCTCACTATTACAGAGTGGAGGCCCTCCTAGCTGCTTGCATCCCATCTTACTCAGTGACCCACTCTCAAAACAACTGTCAGGGTCAGGCATGTTGGCTCATGCCTGTAATCCCAGCACTTTGGGATTATATATATATAATTATATATATAATTAGCAGGGTGTAGTGGCATATGCGTGTAATCCCAGCTACTTGGGAGGCTGAGGCAAGAGAATCTCTTGAACCCAGGAGGTAGAGGCTGCAGTGAGCTGAGATCACACCATTGTACTCCAGCCTGGGCAACAAGAGTGAAAATCTGTCTCAAAAACAAAAACAAAAACTCAGGTGGTCTCTGTCTCCTAAGACCAGCTCCAGCAAACAAGGGTTGAAGTTCAGGATCCAGGCGGCTCTGTGGCCCACAACCCAGTGGAGTCAACAGGCCAAGACCTTTCTGTCTGGTGGCCAGCGCCATGTCTGCAGGCCGCTCAAATGGAAGGTACTGCTTAGAACTCTCCACTGGACACCCTCAGAATTGCACAAGTTTCTTCTGTTACTAGTTCATCCAGAGTTATGATGCCAGCACTTCAAGCCTTGGTTAATCATTGGATCAACAAGTACCCAACTAGGTGCCAGAGAAACGGAAAAAGGCACTTAGGCCCAGCCCTCAAACTGGATCAGGGACGGTGACGGTGGTCCACACCTCACCTACTTTCTCTGCCCTGACACACGCCCAAGGCTTGCACTGAACTGTGAGCTGTAGTAAGTCCAGGTCCCGGTTGCAACCACAGGGGAGTCAGGTGCATCACGTGACCGTGCCGGGTGGAGGAAGGCTGAGTCGCGCAGCTGAGACGCCAGGCGGTCACCTAGCAACAGCGAGCCACGGAGCAATGGAGACCCGCAGCAGGGAGCTCCAAGCTGCGGAGTATTTGGAAAAGCATCGGATCAAAGAGCTGGTGAGCTATCTCACCAGCGCCCTTCTATTTTTCCGGCCGGGTAAGCGCCCCTATGCCCCGGTACAGCCCTCCCTCCACGCGGGGCTTGCTTTCCTCATGAAACCCCCTCTCGCACACCAGCTATCCCTGCCTCCCAGACACTTGAACCCTTCTGCTGCTTATTAACTCTGTGACCTTCAATTAAACAACTTCTTGGGGTTCTTTTTGGAGACGGAGTTTCGCTCTTGTTGCTCAGACTGCAGTGCGGTGACGCAATCTCGGCGCACTGCAACCCTCACCTTCCGGCTTGAAGTGATTCTCTTGCCTCAGCCTCCCTAATAGCTGGGATTATGAGCGTGAGCCACCACTCCCAGCTAATCTTTGTTTTTTGTTTTTTTTTTGTTTGTTTGTTTGTGTTCGTTTTTTGAAACAGAGTTTCGCTCGTTATCCAGACTGGAGTGCAATGGCGCGATCTCGGCTCACTGCAGCCTCTGCCTCCTGGGTTCAAGCAATTCTCCTGCCTCAGCCTCCTGAGTAGCTGGGATTACAGGCGCGCGCCACCGTGCTCAGCTAATTTTTTTTGTACTTTTTGGTAGAGATGGGGTTTCACCATGTCGACCAGGAGGATGGTCTTGATCTCTTGACCTCGTGATCCACCCGCCTCGGCCTCCCAAAGTGCTGGGATTACAGGCGTGAGCCACCGTGCCCGGCCCTAAACTTTGTATTTTTAGTAGAGACGGGGTTTCACCATGTTGGCCGGGCTGGTCTCGAACTCATAACCTCCTCGGGTGATTTGCCCGCCTCGGCCTCCCGAAGTGCTGGATTTACAGCTGTGAGCCACCGTGCCCAGCAGTGTTGGTTTTTTTAGATGGAGTTTTGTTGGGAGTGCAATGGCACGATCTTGGCTTACTGTAACCTCTGCTTTCTGGGTTCAAGCAATTCTCTTGCCTCGGGCTCCTGAGTAGCTGAGATTACAGGTGCCTGCCACTACGCTGGCTAATTTTTGTATTTTAGTAGAGACGGGGTTTCACCATGTTGGTCAGGCTGGTGTTGAGCTCCTGGCTGCAGGTGATCTGCCTGCCTCGGCCTCCCAAAGTGCTGGGATTATAGGTGTGAGCCATGGCACACAACTGAAGTTTTCAATCTAAGACAAACAATTGATAGGGTAGGATAGATGTTCAAGAGATAGCTTTTCCTGCCTTTTTTTTTTTTTTCCCAACACATCTGAACCCCCTATAAAATTTGAATCCTTTTGTAATTTGGGGGTGGTGTATCATTTAAAAGTTATATTAAGGTGAAAGTGGTTTTATGCCCTCCCCAGGGTGCAGAATTTTAATTTGCCTGCCTCCATATGGACCATCAAAAATGCCAGAATTACCGATTTGCTTCTGCGTAAGGAAATGAAAATACCAAGCATTCCAACTTTGCCAAAAAAACAAACAAACAAAAAAAAACACCCAACCAATATGATCATGTATAGGGTGATAAAGTTCTTGCTAGTTGTTTTACATTATTAAATATTTAAAAAAAAAAAAAAAGCCAGGCACAAGATGGCGCCAATGCACTCCAGCCTGGGCAAGAAAGTGAGATTCCATCTCAGAAAAATAAAAATTTAAAAATAGGCCAGGTGCAGTGGTTCAGGCCAGCAATCCCAGCACTTTGGGAGGCTGAGGCAGGCAGATCACTTGAGATCAGGAGTTCCAGACCAGCCTCGCCAACATGGTGAATCCCTGTCTCTATTAAAAATACAAAAATTAGCCGGGCGTAGTGGTGGGCGCCTGTAATCCCAGCTACTCCTAAGGCTGAGTCAGAAGAATCATAAACCTGGGAGGCGGAGGTTGCTGTGAGCAGAGAATGAACCATGGCATTCCAGCCTGGGCAACAGTGAAACTCTGTATCAAAAAACAACAAACGAAAACAAAACTCTGTGATAAAATAGAAATTGAGGGGCCGGGCGCGGTGGCTCAAGCCTGTAATCCCAGCACTTTGGGAGGCCGAGACGGGTGGATCACGAGGTCAAGAGATCGAGACCATCCTGGTCAACATGGTGAAACCCCATCTCTACTAAAAATAGAAAAAATTAGCTGGGTATGGTGGCACGTGCCTGTAATCCCAGCTACTCAGGAGGCTGAGGCAGGAGAATTGCCTGAACCCAGGAGGCGGAGGTTGCGGTGAGCCAAGATCGCGCCATTGCACTCCAGCCTGGGTAACAAGAGCGAAACTCCGTCTCAAAAAAAAAAAAAAAGAAAAAAGAAATTGAAAGAAATGAATGCCTTTTTTAAAAAAACGTACTGAGGAGGCTGTGCGCAGTGGCTCATGCCTGTAATCCCAGCACTTTGGGAGTCCAAGGTGGGCAGATCATGAGGTTAGGAGTTCAAAACCAGCCTGACCAACATGGTGAAACCCTGTCTCTACTGAAAATACAAAAAAAAAAAAAAATTAGCTGGACATGGTGTCACATGCTTGTAATCCCAGCTACTCTGAGGCTGAGGCAAGAGAATTGCTTAAACCTGGGAGGCAGAGGTTGCAGTGAGCCAAGATGGTGCCACTGCATTCCAGCCTGGAGTGAGCCAAGATGGTGCCACTGCACTCCAGCCTGGGTGACAGAGGAAGAACTCCATCTCTGGGGGCAGGAGGGAGAATTACTGGAGAAAAGTTGCTATCAAACTAAATTTTAAAAATCTATTTTTTGAAAAAGTGACTGCTGTCTTTTGGTAGTGCTTGGTACTGTAATGTTGAAAACAGTCTGGGCTGGAGGTGGTGGCTCATGCCTGTAATCCCAATACTTTGGGAGGCCGAGGCAGGAGGATCACTTGAGCCCAGGAGTTCTCAGACCAGTCTGGGTGACACAGCTGAGACCTCTCCTCTACTAAAACTACAAAAATTATCTGGGGCATGGTGGCACATGTCTGTGGTACCAGCTACTTAGGAGGCTGAGGTGGGAGGCTCGCTTGAGCCTGGGAGGTTGAGGCTGCAGTGAGCCATGATTGCACCTCTGCACTCCAGCCTAATATTACACATCAAGACAAATGTTGGACCAATGCATGGTGGCTCACACCTGTAATCCCAACACTTTGGGAGGCTGTGGTGGGGCAGATCACTTGGGTTTAGGAGTTCACAGACCAGCCTGGGCAACATGACAAAACCCCATCTCTACCAAAAATACAAAAAAATAGCTGCACGTGGTGGTGCATGCCTATACCCAGCTACTCTGGAGGCTGATGTGGGTGAATCTAGGAGGCAGAGGTTGCATTGAACCGAGATTGCTAGTCAGGCCGGGTGTCAGTTAAGATTCCATCTCAAAAAAAAATTTAAAAAGACAAATATTACTTTTCCTCATAGTAAAAAGCGATATATTATGGTACATTCATTATATAAAAATATTTGTCAACATTTATTTTTCAATTTCATTTTTATCGAAATGGATGTATGGGGTTTAAAAGCTGAAAAGTACTCCAAAGCTTATAATGAATAACAACAGCATTCCCGTGGCCATCCCCAGCTTCTACCGTACAGAATGATTTCAACTGTTCAAGCAATATTCTTTGCTATTTATCTTGAGATTTCTAAATAACAGACCTATATTGCTGCTGTTTAGTGTTTTTCCCTCTAGGTTTAGATATTAGCTTTATGCTGTGGAAGATGAAAATGCGGCTATCTTAAATTAACATACACCTCATACACCTGTTGCCACTCACACCCATCTTCTGGATACATTTACAATTTTGCTATCCTCAGTATTCAGAATTTTTAATATTAGGCAGGTATCCATAACTAATCCTTATACTATGCTGATTATATTTCCCTTGTTTTCCCTGGTTAATAATACGTTTAAATTTTTAGTTTCCATTTGTGTGATCATCACTAGTTCATCCATATCTTCTTTTGCCACAATACAGCTCTACTCTCATTACATTTGCATTCATTGGGTAATTGCACTCCCCCCACCATCCCACCTCTGCACCCCTAGCTCTGTGTCTTCCTGCTCCAGTCTGCAGTGATTGCTACACAGTGGTTATTCATGGCTTCCCCTCACTCTGATCCTAAAACAATTTCTCGCCTCTTTCTAGTGCTCAGAGCCTGTTTCATGGCACGGCCAGCTCTCCCTGATTCTTGCTTTACCCCTTTCTTCTGGTGTAGCATGTCCTTTAGTGGCTTCCTGAGAGAGTGTACTTTGAGGGGTAAAGATTTTGGGAACTCACATAAATGAAAGTGAGTTCCTACATGTAAAACTTTAATAAACACAGTGGAGGTTGAGCATGGAGGCTCATGCCTGTAATCCCAGCACTTTGAGAGGCCGAGGCAGGCGGATCACTTGAGGTCAGGAGTTCAAGACCAGCCTGGCCAACATGTTGAAACCTCATCTCTACTAAAAACATAAAAATTAGCCAGGTGTGGTGGCACACATCTGTAATCCCAGCTACATGGGAGGCTGAGGCAGGAGAATCAGCTGGACCTGGGAAATGGAGGTTACAGTGAGCCAAGATTTCACTGTTGCACTCCAGCCTGGGCAACAGAGCCGAGACTCTGTCTCATGAAATAAAATATAGAGTGGGTACAATTTTAAGTTGGAACATACTACCCTTAGAATTTTTAAGGCATTGCTCCATTGTCTTCTAATTTCTCATGTTGCTCTGAAGAATTTTGATGTCATATGTCATCAGATTCTTGATCTGGGTATGAGAAAAGTTCATTTTTTCTGGAAAGTTTTTAGAATTTTTTTTTTATCTTATCCCTAGTAACCTGAATATTTTCATGCCTTGGAATGGTTTTCTTGTTGTTGTTGTTACTGTATTGTTCTTTGGGTACTTCATGGTCTTCTTAAATTCGGAGACATTTTTCTTTCAATACTTTTAGGAAGTATTTTCTTATTTTCCTTTACGTATATCTATCTTTCTGGAATTGTTATTAGTTGGATATTGGACATCTTGGCTTGATTCTCTAATTTTCTTTAAATCTTGATATGTTGTATGATAATCTTTATCAGAAGAATGTGATTTATGAATCTACTACAGTTTCTCTTGAGAATTTACCAGATTGTTATTTTGATGCCCCTCACTGGCATACACTTAGATTTCCTGTCTTCATTAGTGGTTCTTTATGGGTAAGATGACTGTGTAAGTTATTATACAAACCAGGGATACTTTGAGTGAAAACAGGTGCTATTAATAATTATGCCAGGACAACATAGTAAACTAAGACTGTCCCAGGCCAACTAGAACATTCGATTATTTTGAGTATGGGTATCTTAAACATGATATGAAAACAAAAACACTTTAAAATTCAAAAACAGACTGGGGGCCGGGCGCGGTGGCTCAAGCCTGTAATCCCAGCACTTTGGGAGGCCGAGATGGGTGGATCACGAGGTCAAGAGATCGAGACCATCCTGGTCAACATGGTGAAACCCCGTCTCTACTAAAGATACCAAAAAAAAATTAGCTGGGCATGGTGGCGCGTGCCTGTAATCCCAGCTACTCAGGAGGCTGAGGCAGGAGAATTGCCTGAACCCAGGAGGTGGAGGTTGCGGTGAGCCGAGATCGCGCCATGGCACTCCAGCCTGGGTAACGAGCGAAACTCCGTCTCAAAAAAAAAAAACAAAAAAACAGACTGGGTGCCAAGGCTCATGCCTGTAATCCCAGCACTTTGGGAGGCCGAGGCAGGTAGATCACCTGAGGTCAGGAGTTCGAGACCAGCCTGGCCAATGTGGTGAACTGCTGTCTCTACTAAAAACACAGAATTAGTGCTAGCTTTGGTACACATAAACTAAAATTGGAATGATGCAGAGAAGATTAGCATGGCCCCTGCACAAAGATGATGCAAATTCGTGAAGCGTTCCATATTAAAAAGAAAAAAAGGAAAAAAAAAATACAAAATTAGCCGGTTGTAGTGGTGTGTACTTTTAATCCCAGTTACTCAAGAGGCTGAGGCAGGAGAACCCGGGAGGCAGAGGTTGCAGTGAGCTGAGATCGTGCCACTGCACTCCAGCCTAGATGACAGAACGAGACTCTGTCTCAAAAAATAAATTGAAAAGACAAAAGCATCATGGCAGCCAGTGGATCAACTGAATGAAAAACTGTTTTTTTGTTTGTTTGTTTGTTTGTTTTGAGATGGAGTTTCACTCTTGTTGCCCAGGCCAGAGTACAATGGCGCGATCTTGTCTCACCACAACCTCTGACTCCTGGGTTTAGATGATTCTCCTGCCTCAGCCTCCAGAGTAGCTGAGATTACAGGCATGCGCTACCACGCACAGCTAATTTTGTATTTTTTAGTAGAGACGGGGTTTTTGCCATGTTAGTCCTGCTGGTCTTGAACTCCCGACCTCAGGTGATCTGCCCTCCTCAGCCTCCCAAAGTGCTGGGATTACAGGCATGAGCCACCACATCTGGCCTGAAAAATTAATTTTTCTGAGTCACAACATGAGCCCACTTACCTGATCTGCATGAATTTCCCAATAGTCTGAGAATCTCAAACAGTTGTAATAAACACAAACAGAGGCCTTCATTTGGCCATCTCGGTCACAACACAAAATCACACTCAAAGAAGTGCAGTCATTCCAGCAATCAAGAGTAGGTATCAAAAAGACTTTATCTCATAATCCACAGTAAAACCAGTGAAAAGTCCTTCCTCCTTGTTCCCAGCCGTATTGTCCACAGCAGCTGCAGAGCCTGTCGGATTCCGAATCCATGACACTCAGCCCATCCAACTCTTCCCTCTCCTGCTCCCTAGCTTGCATTTTTCTCTCATATCTTTATTATGTAAACCAATTTAGCATCTTGAAGATTCTTTTTTTCCTCTAGCACAAAAAGCTTTGAACATATCTGGCAAAAACAGAATTTTCCAGTAGAAGCCATTATGGGGGGAAAGAGAATCTAAGCAGATAAAGACAAAACTCTCTTTAGTGGAAGGGAAGTCTGGGAATACTCACAGATTAATTATATACCTATCACATAAATAATATATCAGTTTTTTAAAATGGATACCACCTTTTTTTTTTTTTTTAAGATGGAATCTTGCTCTGTCGCCCAGGCTGGAGTATAGTGGCGCATCTCAGCACACTGCAACCTCCATCTCCAGGGTTCAGGCAATTCTCGTGCCTCAGCCTCCAGAGTAGCTGGGATTACAGGCGCAAACCATCACAATGGGCTTTTTTATTTTTAGGAGAGATGGATTTTGCCATATTGGCCAGGCTGATCTGGAACTCCTGACCTCAATCCTCCTTGATCCCCCAAAATGCTTGGATTACAGGTGTAAGCCACCGTGCCTGGCAGGGTACCATCTTTAATAATGTAAATACCTTAAAACATCTTTATAAACACCAAATTTGGGGAGAGGAAACCGTGGGTTCAGAAACACTGAGCTAGAGTAAGAAGGTCATGAAGCTAAAGAAGGGGTTGGTTGGCATGCAGAGTACATGTACAGTGAAGAGGAGGCAGATAGAGAGCAATGGCAGAGGAGAGCGGACTTGTCCTTTTAGTGTTGGTGACCTTAGCCTGAGGTGGTGTAAGTTTCTTTGAAGTCATTTGTTTTGTCCTAAAAATTCATAAGATCTGTTATTCTGTAGATATACCCATTTCTTGATATAAATGTTTTATATTACTCACCAAGGTATGATTGATGCTTAGGAAGACATGCTAGCCTTATCCTGTGTCTTTTGAAGGCCCTGGCATTATGACATTTGTCCCAGTTTGAAAACCTTGGAATTCTAGAGTTGCAGAAAATAAGACTATACAGTTTGATTGGCCAATTACTATTGAGGAAACGGGTATGCAGTCCTCTATTCTCAATTTCAAAATTGTGAAAGCTCTGAAAACCAGCAGTTTCATACATCATGTAACAGCAAGACCTGACCTGATCTGAAATAATTTGGTAGGAAAACCTGGCCTCAGTTAGGGTATATTGGAAAATGTAATTGCTAGCTGTTAAAAAAATTAGCTGGACATGGTGGCAGACACCTGTAATCCCAACTACTTGGGAGGTTGAGGCAGAAGAATCTCTTGAACTGTGGAAGCAGAGGTTGCAGTGAGCCAAGATGGTGCCACTGCACTCTAGTCTGGGTGACGGAGTGAGACTCCATCTCAGTATATATATACGTATATACACACACACACACACACACACACACACACACACACATACACACATCTCAGTGTATATATATATGTATCTCGTCTTGAATTCCCATGCATTATGTGAGGGAGCTAGTGAGAGGTAATTGAATTGTCGGGGCAAGTGTTTCCCATGCTATTCTCTTGATAGTGAATGAGTCTCATGAGATCGGATAGTGTTTTTTTGTTTTTTTGATATTTTTTTAGACAGTTGCACTCTTGTTGCCCAGGCTGGAGTACAAAGGTGCAATCTCAGCTCACTGCAACTCCTGCCTCCTGGATTAGAGCGATTCTCCTGCCTCAGCCTTCTGAGTAGCTAGGTTTACAGGCACATACAACCAGGCCTGGCAATTTTTTTTTTTTTAAAGTAGAGACAGCATTTCACCATGTTGGCCAGCCTGGTCTCAAACTCCTGACCTCAGGTGGTCCACCCTCCTTAGCCTCCCAAAGTGCTGGGATTACAGGTGTGAGCCACTGCACCTGGCCTGATCTGATGTTTTTAAAAATGGGAGTTTCTCTACACAAGCTCTCTCTTTGCCTGCTGCCATCCATGTAAGATGTGACTTGCTCCTCCTTGCCTTCTGCCATGACTGTGAGGCCCGCTCAGCCACGTGGAACTGTAAGTCCACTAAACCCTTATCCTGTGTAAATTACCCAGTCTAGGGTATGTCTTTAGCAGCATGAAAATGGAGTAATACTGTATATATATATTTATATGTACTGTTTATATATATGGTATATATGTACACCATATGTTTATGTATATATATGTTTATATATACACCATATATATGCACAGTATTTATAAATATATATACAGTATTACTCCATGATATATATATTACATATATAAATGTATATATAAACATATGTAAACATATATACTGTATATATATAGTGTATATATAAGAATGTATATACACAGTGTGTATATATAAACACACATATGTACACATATATATATACACTGTATATATAGTTGCTGGCTAGTCAGCCTCTCCCAGTGATAATTCTATGCAATATAAGGAGGGAATATGAAGTTTTAGGGGATGGCTGTAATGAAATTATAAATTAAATAACACAATTATATTAATAGTAACCCAAATGAGAGACATTGCTGTGGGACTGGTAGAGTAAAATGAATTTGAAAGCTATTGAGAAAAAAACTCAGTAGAGACCATCGTGACTGATTAGATTTGACCATTGAAGATGCTACCCGTATTTTAGTTAGTAGAGTGTGGTAAAGTCTGCAGGCTTTAGAAGCACATTGCCTGAATTCACACTGGCTGTGTGGCCTTGAGCAAGTGACTGTTGTGAGGAGTAAATGAAGTTATCCATAGAAAATGCTTCCCATAGTACCAGGCATATAGTACCAGTTACATTTACGTAACATAGTTGGTTAGTAACATTTGACTCTTCCTTTCATGTTTTAAAAAGGTTCTGTCTTTTTATATTTATGCTGTGAGCATTTTCAAAACATTTTTTTTCTTTTTCTTTTTTTTTTTTTTGAGACAGAGTCTTACTCTGTCGTCCAGGTTGGAGTGCACTGGTGCGATCTCAGCTCACTGCAACCTCCGCCTCCTGGGTTCCAGCAATTCTTCTCCGTCAGCCTCCCAAGTACCTGGGACTACAGGCGCCTGCCACCACATCTGGCTGTAGTTTTTTTGTTTTTTTGGATTTTTTTCTTTTTCTTTTTTGAGAGAAGGAAAGAAAAAAAAATAAGTAAAGGAGAGGAAGAAAGAGGAAGAGAAAGAGGGAGAGTAAATGGAAATATTGCTTTATTTTGAAAAAAATTGGGTATTAATGATGGCCAATCAATGTTTCATTTAAACTTATGGGTAGGTGTGATGTGGTATTGACAAGAATGTATATTTTGTGTATTTGAAGTGGAGAGCTCAATAAATATTTATTAAGTGTACTTGTTCCGGATCTGAGTTCGAGTCCTTGATATCCTTATTAATTTTCTGTCTCATTGAATCTAAGTCTCGTATCTGGGTGTTAGGATCCTTAGCTCTTGTTGTTGCATTGATCCTTTTACCACTATATCTTTGTTGCTTTAAAATCTATTTTATCCGATACGAGAATTGCAACTCCTGCTTTTTATTTATTTATTATTTATTTTTGCTTTCCATTTGGTTGGTAAATCTTTCTCCATACCTTTGTTTTGAGTCTTTGTGTATCCTTGCATGTGAAACAGGTCTGGATGTAACATGCCATTGGGTTTTGGCTGTGTCTTTTGATTGGGGGATTTAGTCAATTTAAATTTAGGGTTACTGCCATTTGATGTTGACTGGCTGTTTTATCCATTCGTTGGTGTAAATTCTTCTTTATGTTGGTGCTCTTTACTTTTTGGTATATTTTTAGTAAGGCTAATACTGGTTGTTTCTTTCTGTGTGTAATGCTTCTTTCAGAAGCTCTTGTAAAGCAGGCCTGGTGGTAATAAAATCTCTGAGTTCTTGCTTGTTCATAAAAGATTTTATTTTTCCTTCAGTTGTGAAGCTTAGTTTGGCTGGACATGAAATTCTGGGCTGAAGGTTCTGTTCTTTGAAGATGTTGAATATTGGCCCCCACTCTCTTCTGGCTTGTAGAGTTTCTGCTGAGAGATCTGCTGTAAGTCTGATAAGCTTGCCTTTGTGGGTAACCTGACCTTTCTCTCTGGCTGCCCTTAGTATATTCTCCTTCGTTTCAACCCTGGTGAATCTAACGATTATGTGCCTTGGGGTTGCTCTTCTTGAGGAATATCTTTGTGGTGTTCTCTGTATTACCTGGGGTTGAATGTTGACCTGCTTTGCTAGTTTAGGAAAATTTTCCTGAATAATATCCTGAAGGGTATTTTCCAGCTTGGATTCATTCTCTCCGTCACATTCAGGTACACCTATCAAACGTAAATTTGGTCTTTTCACATAGTCCCACATTTCTTGTAGACTTTGCTCATTCCTTTTTATCCTTTTTTCTCTAATCTTTTCTTCACGTTTTATTTCATTAAGTTGGACTTTGACCTCTGATATCCCTTTTTCTGCTTGAACAATTCGAGTGTTTAAACCTGTGCATACCTCTCGGAGTTCCTGTATTGTATTCTTCAGTTCCATTAATTCACTCATACTCCTCTCTAAGTTGTCTATTCTCAATAGGATTTCATCAAACCTTTTTTCAAAGTTCCTAGTTTCTTTACGTTGGGCTACAACATGGTCTTTTAACTCACCGAAGTTTGTTATTATCCATTCCTTGAAGAGTGATTCTGTCATCAGGATGCGCTCGTTCTCCATCAAGCCTTGTTCCATTGTTGATGTGGAACTGTGATCATCTTTAGAGGGAGAGGCCTTCTGACTTTGAGTATTCTCAGCTTTTTTACGCTGGTTTCTTCCCATCATTGTAAATTTATCCTCCTGTCGTCTTTGAAATTACCAACTTTCAGATTAGGTCTCTTGAGTGGATGTCCAGGTTGTTAGTTCCCAGGGCCAGAGCAGCGGCGTTAAAACTGATGGTGCTTGTCTTCCCAGGATTCTCCTGTCGGGCTTCCTTCTTGTGTCCCTAGTAGGCGACTCTGCCTTCCCGGGGCTCCAAACCTCGGTCAGAAGGGGAACCGGTGCCGTTTACTCTGCGCCGAGAGCTGCTGCGCCGAGGTGCCATCACAGCCGCTGCGCCGGGTTCTGGTGTCCTGCTGGGGACCCATGCGGGTCCTCCGAACCTGTTTACTCTGCTCAGAGAGCTGCCGCGCCAAGGTGCTGGCAGAACCGCTGCGCCGGCCACGAGAGTCGCGCTGGCCACCCGTGTGTTTCCTCCACTGGGGGATCTTCTGCTCCATGAGCGACCAGAATTTGTCTGAAAGTGTGGCGTCCTCTAGTTCTCCGCGCCTTCCCTGAGAGCTGCAATCCCGGGATGTTAGCGATTGGCCATCTTGGATTGTTCTCCCTGGCTGTAGTTTTTAGTAGAGATGGGGTTTCACCATATAGGCCAAGCTGGTCTCAAACTCCTGAGGTGATCCACCCACCTTGACCTTCCAAAGTGCTGGGATTACAGGCGTGAGCCATTGTGCCCGGCTCAAAACATTTTCAAAAGCAGGGTACAGTATAAATTGTAGTATTCAAGCATAAAATTATAACATCTCATGCAGCCTAAAAGGATACACAACAAGAAAACTGGTTTGGGTTTTCATCAAAGTGGTACACCAAGTTCCATTAGCATGATTTACTTATTCAAGCCTTAAAAAGATAGTGAGTTGAAATTTAAACCTGGCCTTTTTCCAGTTTCTGAGTTTGATACATGGTGTAGGAAGAAGAAACAGACTTCATACAAAATGTGACTGCCTTTAGTAGCCTATTTATTGCTGGAAACTGATTATACAAGTAAAGTACAATACTAGATTTAAAAGTCTACTTCTGGTTTCAACACATAAATTCCCAGGGATGAAGATGGAGTGAAAACCTATAAATTAAAGGATTTTAAAACATAACCTGAGTGAAGAGAAAACCTATGGAATGGGAGAGTATATTTGCAAACTATGTATCTAATAAGGGGTTAATATCCAAAACATGTAAGAACTCAATAGTAAGAAAATAACCAATTTTTGTTTAATAGGCAAAGGACCTAAATAGACATTTTTCTATAGAAAATAAAGAAGTAGGCTGGGCACGGTGGCTCAAGCCTGTAATTCCAGCACTTTGGGAGGCCAAGACAGGTGGATCACGAGGTCAAGAGACTGAGACCATCCTGGTCAACATGGTGAAACCCCATCTCTACTAAAAAATACAAAAAATTAGCTGGGCATGGTGGCGTGTGCCTGTAATCCCAGCTACTCAGGAGGCTGAGGCAGGAGAATTGCCTGAACCCAGTAGATGGAGGTTGCGGTGAGCTGAAATCGTGCCATTGCACTCCAGCCTGGGTAACAAGAGCAAAACTCCGTCTCAAAAAAAAATAAAAAAATAAAAAAAAGAATTACCAACAGGTATATGAAAAAGTGCTCAACATCACTAATCATTAGGGGAATGGAAATTAAAACCTCAATGAGCTATCACCTCACACTTGTTAGAAAGGTTATTATCAAGAAAGATAGCTGAGCACTATGGCATAAGCCTGTGGTCCCCGCTACTCAGGAAGCTGAAGCAGGATGATCACTTGGGTCCAGGAGTTCAAGACCAGCTTGAGCAACATAATGAGACCCCCATCTTTCAAACACTAACAAAAGATGAAAGATAACAAGTGCTGGCAAAGATTTGGAGAAAAAAGAACCCTTGTATACTACTGGTGGGATTGTGAATTAGTACAACCATTATGGAAAACAACATGGTGGCTCCTCAGAAAATTAAACATAGAACTTACCTGGCGGTCCCACCACTGGGCATATATCCACAGGAAATGAAATCAGTATGTTGAAGTAGCTGCACTTGTTTATCACAACATTATTCACAATAGACAATATGTAGAATGGCTTAAGTGTCCATGGATGAAGAAAATGTGACACATATAGACAATGAAGAACTATTCAACTTAAAACGGACATCTTATCATTTGCAACAACATGGATGAACCTGGAAAACATTAAGTAAATCAGGCACAGAAGAATACCTCATGATCTTAATTGTATGTAGAATCCGAAAATGTCAGATTCATAAAAAGAGTAAAAGAATGGTCATCAAGAGCTGGAGGGCGGGGTTATTGGGGAGATGTTGGCCAAAGGACATATAATTTCAGATAGAAGAGGAGTAAGTTCAAGAGATGTACTGTATATCATGGTGACTACAGCTAATAATATATTTTATACTTGAAAATTGCTAACAGAGTAGATTATACGTGTTCTCATGAAAAAAATAAGTAAAAGGGGACTTCAAAAAGTTCATAGAGAAATGGAATTAAAAGATTAAAAATTAGCTTTGCATAGTGGCAGTATCATAGCTAATGAGGTTTATCTGAGGCGCGATTATTGCTAATTGAAAACTTTTCCCAATACCCCACTGTGATGACTTGCAGTATAGTCAGCATTGGCAATTTTTGACAGTCTTTACGGAGACTGGGAAAAAAAAAGATTAAAAATTATTTCTCAACATAAGCTCTATCAAATTCGAGATGATTTTGTAAACAATGTTACCAGCCATTAAGTCCATCCCTAAAGAACTGAGGGTCCTGGGAATTTACCCCTGTCAATGCAGTCTCTCTTACATCATTAAAGAAAAAATGGGTGCCCTTTAAAGATTTTTTAAGATCAGAAAACAAGTCAAAAGGAGACAAATGAGGACTGTAAGGTAGATGCTAATGATATCCCATTGAAACTCTCGTAAAATTGCCTTGTTCCATGAGAGGAATGAGCAGGAGCACTGTTGCGGTAGAGGACATTCTGGTAAAATTTTCCTGGGCTTTTCTTTAAAGCTTTGTCTAACTGTCTCAAAACATTCTCATAAAAAGCAGATGTTATTGAAGCAGATGTTATTGTTTGGAACTCCAAAAAAATCAACAAGCAAAATACCTTGAGCATCCCAAAAAACTACTGCCATGACATTTGCTCTTGACCAGTCCACTTGTGCTTGGACTGGACCATGTCACCTCTTGGTACCCATCCTTTGACAGAGTTTCTCTTCAGGATCACACTGTAGAACTTTCATCTCATTTCAATTCTTTGAAGAAATACTTCAGGATCTCGATGCTACTTGTTTTAAAATTTCCATTGAAAGCCGTGCTTTTGTCTGCAGCTTATCTGGTACAATGGCTTTCGCACTGATTGAATGGAAAGTTTGCTTGACCTTTTCAATCAGAATTGTGTAAAATGAACCAAGATGTCTATGGTTTGGGCTGTTGTTTGTGCTGTTAATTGTCAATCCTCTTCAATTAGGCACAAACAAGATTTTGCTCCTCACAAATTGATGTGGATAGGGTTAGAGTGAAATAAGCTTGGCCACAAAATTTTTTTTTTTTTTTTTGAGACGGAGTTTTGCTCTTGTTACCCAGGCTGGAGTGCAATGGCGCGATCTCGGCTCACTGCAACCTCCGCCTCCTGGGTTCAGGCAATTCTCCTGCCTCAGCCTCCTGAGTAGCTGGGATTACAGGCACGCGCCACCATGCCCAGCTAATTTTTTTTGTATTTTTAGTAGAGACGGGGTTTCACCATGTTGACCAGGATGGTCTCGATCTCTTGACCTTGTTATCCACCCGCCTCGGCCTCCCAAAGTGCTGGGATTACAGGCGTGAGCCACCACACCCGGCCTGGCCACAAATTTTAACAGTTGAAATTGGTGATGGGTTCATTATACTTTTGTCTACTTTTTTTTTTTTAGACGGAGTTTCACTCTTGTTACCCAGACGAGTGCAATGGCACCATCTCGGCTCACTGCAACCTCCGCCTTCTGGTTTCAAGCAATTCTCCTGCCTCAGCCTCCCAAGTAGCTGGGACTACAGGTGCCCACCACCATGCCCAGATAATTTTTGTATTTTTAGTAGAGACAGTGTTTCATCTTGTTGACCAGGATGGTCTCGATCTCTTGACCTCGTGATCCACCCGCCTCGGCCTCCCAAATGCTGGGATTATAGGCATGAGCCACCACGCCCGGCCTCTGTCTACTTTTATAAACATTAAATTCTCAGTAATGATGTAACTCAAATTTTTAAAGAATATATGAGTTGTCCAAGCATGGCGGTTCATGCCTATATCAGCAATTTTGAGAGGCTGAGGTGGGAGGATTGCTTGAGCCCAGGAGCTTGAGCCAGGTCTGGGCAACACAGCAAGATCCTGTCGCTGTTTAACTTTAAAAATATATGAGTGAAGCTTAAGATTTAAATGATAAAATGATCAAGCAGCAAGAGTGATCTGTAGCATCCAAACTGTTCTGTCTCTACTCCTTTTGGCTGCTTTTCATCATGATTGTCCTGAATTATTTCTGAAAAGTGGGTTGATCTTGATTTTTCATTTTTAAAATTGCTTAAACTATAGCATATTATTTATCCAAAATACTGCTTTTATGTCAGAAATGCATACGCTTCCTAGAAGCCCGTATTTATTCCAAGTCTCTGTATGTATATATCTCTCTCTCAAAAAAACATATACATACATATATATGTATGTATGTATGGGTATTTATTTATTTTTTTGAGATGGAGTCTCACTCTGTCGCCCAGGCTGCATGCAGTGCAGTGGCACGATCTCTGCTCAGGGCAACCTCCACCTCTTGGGTTCAAGAAATTCTCCCGCCTCAGCCTCCCAAGTAGCTGGGATTACAGGTATGCGCCATCACGCCCAGTTAATTTTGTAATTTTAGTAGAGATGGGGTTTCTCCATGTTGGTCAGGCTGGTCTCAAACTCCCAACCTCTGGCGATCCGCTGCCTCAGCCTTCCTAAGTGCTGGGATTATAGGCATGAGCCACCACGCCTGGCCTATTTATATTTTCTCTGCTTTTTAGGTGGCCAACTTCTTTCCTGCATTATGCTGTTCCCTCTTTCTGGTTTTCAACCCCATCTACAATTTATAGTCACTTGGGGAGTTTTTCTAAAAAGTGCCCAGGTCCAATTTCTGTAGTTTTCTATTCAATCATCGGAGATAGGGCATTTGTATTTGTAACTATTTAAGTGTTCGATGTCTTACCTTCTTGCTGAACTGTTTTATGAAAAGTAAGGCCTGTGTCCCCAGTGCCTAGTACAGTGCCCCTGCTACAGCTGTTTAATAATTGTTAAATGACTATTTCTACTTGTAACATATTTTAATTTCATATCAGAAAGAGCTGGAACTATTCTTTTGCAGAAAAACCAAGAGAATATTTAATATCCCTATTGGAACGTCTGACAATTGCAAAAGCAACAGGCGTAGCATTCCCTTTCTTTATGGATAACTCTAATGTTGTATCTATGTTTGAGATGATGGACTCCTCCAACAGAGGCACCATATCATTTGTGCAGTATAAAGAAGGTCAGTACTTTCTACAAATTGAGGTAATAGTTTGTGGCCATTCCATAATTTTTTCTAACAGAAAATCATTCTCACTTTGTAAATTTTCATTTCTTCTCATTATTTTACAGCCCTAAAAACCCTTGGTCTGTGCACTGAAGATGAAGATTTAGAAGATGATGGACACAGAATCACTTTGGATCAATTCAAGGATGAAGTGTATGTTTATTGTTAAATGACAACTATTTTAATAAGGTGGCATGATTTTGAAATATAATACCTTTTGAAATACATTCCTATCTTTTGAAAGAAATATTTTGTTCCCTTGAAATTTTCAGCTGACTGAAAAGTGAGGAGAGGGAAGGCTAACAGTAAAGTCTCTAAGCTCTGGAATACTAAATTCCAGTGGCAGCTCCATTCTTTTTTGAGACGGAGTCTTGCTCTGTTGCCCAGGCTGGAGTGCAGTGGTGTGATCCTGGCTCACTGCAACCTCTGCCTCCTGGGTTCAAGTGATTCTTCTGCTTTAGCTTCATGAGTAGCTGTGATTACAGATGCGCAACACCATGCCCAGCTAGTTTTTGCATTTTTAGTAGAGACAGGGTTTCACCATGTTGGCTAAGCTGGTCTCCAACTCCTGACCTCTGGTGATCCACCTGCCTTGGAGTCCCAAAGTGCTGGGATTACAGGCATGACCTTCCTAGCCCAGCCCACAATTCTTTTCCCAGCAATTCTCAAAGGATGAGGTGAAGAAGCATTAATATGCTAGGACAAGTAACAAACGCTTTGATCTCAACACACTAGCTGAAAACTCTATTTAAAATATATACTAATAGAATTTACCTCAAAATATTTCCTCAAAATTATTTATTGCAAAGTAAATTTTTGTCAATAGCATAGGCTGCATGCTAGTCTGATAATTTTAGATTTGACATATTATAGGATTAAAACTACTAACCCAGTGCTAAATAAAGTCAGAGAAAAATGAATGGAATAAAATTTAATAGTTATAGAAAGTTTCCAGGGAATCTAGCTCAATTTTTTAAGAATTTTTACTCTGAGATTAATCAAGAAACTATTATTGAATATAGCACCCAAGGTCAAGAAAAAGTTACAAGAAAAAAACTTTTGAGATTTATAATAAAAATTCTGTTTGTTTTTGAGACAGAGTCTTGCTTTGTCGCCAGGCACTAGGCTGGAGTACAGTGGTGCGATCTCGGCTCACTGCAACCTCTGCCTCCCAGGTTCAAGCAATTCTCCTGCCTCAGCCTCCCGGGTAGCTGGGACTACAGGCGCATGCCACCACGTCCAGCTACTTTTTGTTTTTGTATTTTTAGTAGAGACGGGGTTTCACCATGTTGGCCAGGATGGTCTCGATGTCTTGACCTCATGATCCGCCTGCCTCGGCTCCCAAAGTGCTGGAATTATAGGCTTGGGCCATGGCACCCAGCCTAAAATAGGAGTATTTTTCATTTCCCACAAATATCTTCCTTATTCACCAACTCACAATTTTTTTTTTTTTAGAGACAGGGTCTTGTTCACTTACCCAGGCTGGAGTGCAGTGTCAAAAAATCACAGCTCCCTGTAGCCTTGACTTTCTGGGCTCAAGCTATTCTCCTACCTCAGCCTCCCAAGTAGCTAGAACTACAGGCATGCATCAGGGTCGTGACATGTTGCCCAGGCTGGTTTCGCACTCCTGACTCAAGCAGTCCTCCTACCTTAGGCCTCCCAATATGCTGGGATTACAGGTATGAGCCACTGTATCTTGCCAGTTTTCTTACGGAAATACAGTGAATTCCCAAACTAGATATAGGAGCCTCAATTATAAATATGAATTCTAAAGTGAGTTAAAAAAATTTACTATGTTTGATTATCCACAACAGAATTTCCCTTAATTAGCACAGGAAATTGAAAGTTGATTATAACACATCTGCTATTTTATTCAACAGACATACTCAGCATTTATTTGTTAATAGAATTTTTCTATATAAACAAATTTTTCAATTTGTTTCGTTTTCTCTTTTTGTTTCCTTAGGAACAAGAGGATTAAGGACATATGGTCAGCATTCTAGTAACACTATAACTCCAAGATAATAAATGATTCTATAAAGTTTTCCAGTTTCATTAATTCAGAATTTCATCATGTAACTTGAAATCAAACTGGCTTCTTCTTAAAAAGCAAGAAAAACCTTTTTCTGAAAGACATTATTTTCCAGTATTAGGCCAGTTGGTCCTCAAATTAAGTAGAATCTCAACATCTTGTTGAGCCAGTTTGTATATTCCGACTTCATTTAATGCTGCTGTGGCAGGAAGTTGCCCTGAAGCTGACTGCAGTACATCTTTCAGGAGTAGTGCAGAACCGACGTTCAAATTCAAAACAATACAGGCTTCTTTTATACTGTTTAGGGAAAACGAAGGAGGGAAGTGAAATCTACATTATCTGCATCATCCATATTACAACAATTTGAGAATCTAAACAGCTTCTCTGCACTGCTGGTCCACATGTTCACTATAAAAATAGGGATTCTTTTAACGTGGTAAGTTAATGTGGTAAGACTACACAGGTGCAGAGTTTATATTTCTTTACTATAAGGTAGTAGGATCCCTATTTCAATAGGTATCCATGTCCCTAAAAACAATACTGCATATGAACACTCTATTAAATATAGGTATAACTTTAAATAGATTAGAATATGGGAAAAGACAAAAATGAGAGATAAAATAAAAGCAAGAACATGAAAATAAATTTTAAAAACAAATAGTTGCCCAGGTGCAGTGGCTCACACCTGTAATCCCAGCATTTTGGGAGGCTGAGGTGGGCGGATCACCTGAGGTCGGGAGTTTGAGACTAGCCTGGCCAACAGGGTAAAACCCTGTATCTACTAAAAATACAAAAAATAGCCGGACATGGTGGCGTGCATCTGTAGTCCCAGATACTGCGAAGGCAGAGGCAGGGGTTGCAGTGAGCCGAGATTGCACCATTGCACTCCAGCCTGGTGACTACAGGTGCACAACACCACACTTGGCTTTTTTTTTTTTTTACTTTTTGTAGCGATGGAGACTTGCTATGTTGCCCAGGCTGCTCTCAAACACCTGGCCTCAAGCAATCTGGCCACCTCTGCCTCCCAAAGTACTGAGATTAGAGGTGTGGGCTACTATGCTTGGCCTATAATTTAAACTTGAAATCAATCAATTCTGAAAAAAATTGTAATTATTATATTAATCATTATATTTGGAACCAAAATTAATGTCAAATGTTTAAGGAAACAAATTTCTTTCAGTCCCAGACTATTAGTAGGTATATTAAACATATTTGTAATTTATTTTGTAAACAGGGCACAACTCTACTTGCTTTTATTTTCTATTTATTCCTCCGGTAACTAAGCAAATAGAAGCATTAAACCAAAAACTAGAAAACAAAACCCAACATATAACTTATATCTAGTTCTGGTCAACTTTTTGAGATCCTGGGTCACATCTATCATTTTGGTTTCCCTATCGTGCTGTAAGCATACAGTAGACAATGTTTTATATATTTATTTTTTGAGACAAGAGTTTCACTCTTGTTACCCAGGCTGGAGTGCAATGGCGCAATCTTGGCTCACCACAACCTCCGCCTCCTGGGTTCAGGCAATTCTCCTGCCTCAGCCTCCTGAGTAGCTGGGACTACAGGCACGTGCCACCATGCCTAGCTAATTTTTCTATTTTTAGTAGAGATGGGGTTTCACCATGTTGACCAGGATGGTCTCGATCTCTTGACCTCATGATCCACCTGCCTTGGCCTCCCAAAGTGCTGGGATTACAGGCTTGAGGCACCGCACCCGGCCTTGTTTTAAAACTTACACTGATCTTATCCCACCCCAACATCTCCAGAACCCTAAAGTTAAAAGGAGTTAGCCTCCTATAACAATTGTATACATGAGTATTAATTGTTAAATGTTGAACTTACTGTTTAAAATAATTTTCTGGTCTCTTGCAATAGTGAGAAAACAAAGGGAAAAGATTACGAGTCATATCAAACTGCAACTGGGCTGCTCCTCCTTCATTGAAGTGATTAGCAAGAATTATCTGAAACAAAGAATTATTCATATAACAGTTGCCTTTATTATCACAGTCCAAAAATAGTCTATTCTTACTTACTTCTTGGTAGATGTATACATCCAGCTTCTCAACAAGCATTTGCCAGAACATTTTAAATAAGGAGAAACAGAGCTGCCGCTCCAGCTGCAGTAAATGGTCTCGTAGCGTAAGCAGTAATGGGCAGGCTGAACTGGACAGGGACATGACTGCCTGCTCTGACTGAGATGGCAAGGACAACCATCTGGAAAAAACATTCATTTTTACCACAGAATTTTCATCAGTTTGTGTTTTTAAATCATTTTAAATTTGAGGAAGTGTTCTGTGCTGCGGCATTTTGGATTAAGAAAAATACACAGCCCAACATTAAAACCTCTATCAGAAAATAAAGTACCTGTATTTAAATTTTCTCTCTCAATTACTATTTAATATGAGGGTATTTCCAAAATATCCCCAAATGTTAATGTGAAATATTGATATAAAGAAATTTAGGGTTTTATTTTTTATTTTTTTGAGACGGAGTCTCGCTCTGTTGCCCAGGCTCAGTGGCTCAATCTTGGCCCACTGCAACCTCTGCCCCCTGGGGTTCAAGTGATTCTCTTGTCTCAGCCTCCCAAGTAGCTGGAATTAGAGGTGCCCATACCACACCTAGCTAATGTTTGTATTTTTAGTAGAGATGGGGTTTCACCATGTTAGCCAGGCTAGTTTCGAATTCCTAGCCTCAAGTGATCTACCCACCTCAGCCTCCCAAAGTGCTAGGATTACAGCCATGAGTCACCTCGCCCAGCCTGACTTTAGCATTTTAATTAAGACATCAGCTAATATTATGTTCTCATTTTCAGTAAAAACACGACTAATAACAGATTAGAAGCACTCTAGGCCGGGCGCGGTGGCACAAGCCTGTAATCCCAGCACTTTGGGAGGCCGAGGCGGGTGGATCACGAGGTCAAGAGATCGAGACCATCCTGGTCAACATGATGAAAACCCGTCTCTACTAAAAACACAAAAAATTAGCTGGGCATGGTGGCACGTGCCTGTAATCCCAGCTACTCGGGAGGCTGAGGCAGGAGAATTGCCTGAACCCAGGAGGAGGTGGTTGCGGTGAGCCAAGATCACGCCATTGCACTCCAGCCTTGGTAACAAGAGTGAAACTCCGTCTCAAAAAGAGAGAAAAAAAAAAAAAAAGCACTATGTTGTAGGGACTATGGTAGGACAAAAAGATACTGCCTGCTTTCCAAGATAAAAGTAACACAGGTGTACACAAGGAATGGTAGTGGGATAAACTGTCCAACAAAAGTACCACAGGTGCACTTTACTGTACAAAATGGGAGATGGGTTAGGCTATTCAACCCCAGACCACACACCATCCTTCTACTGATATGTATTTACGAATAGCTAAATTATAATCAGTTCTGATTAAGAATGTCTGAGACAGCCAAGTGTGGTAGCTCATGCCTGTAATATCAGCAGTTTGAGAGGCCAAGGCCGGTGGATTGCATGAGGTCAGGAGTTAGCGATCAGCCTGCCCAACATGTGAAACCCTGTCTCTACTAAAAATACAAAATTAGCTGGGCCTCATGGTGAACACCTGTAGTCCCAGCTACTTAGGAGGCTGAGATAGGAAGATTACTTGAACCTGGAAGGTGGAGGTTGAAATAAGCTGAGATTGCATAACAGCACTCCAGCCTGGGTGACAGAATAGGACTGTCTCAAAAATAAAAGTCCAAGACAACATATTTTAGAAATATTTTTACCAGCAATAAAGTTTAAAGTACATAAGGCCAAATCAGGTTCTTTCTAGACACCTTGGAAATCTGACCACATGTACCATCTTTAACTTTTACCAAACTGGTATTAAGAGCTGACTCAGGCAGAGGACATACCTTTCCTTTTTATACAATTTGGCGGCATCTTTAACATCTCTAAACACATGGTCTACTTGACGGGTCAACATATCATGCTTTAAACGCTCTAAGAGGTTAATCATGTCATCAAAGACAGAGCTCTCCATAGAGGCTAGTTGTCCCAGCTGCAATTTACTCAGAGTATTATTCTCTGCAAACACCTCCAGTGCAGCCTGTTGAAGTTGTAGAAAGAACTGAAAGCAAAAACATGTTAACACATTAACATACTTTAACAGCTTGAAATACAATTCATGTGTCATTCAATTCACCCATTTAAAGTCTATAATATGGCTGGGTGCAGTGGCTTACACCTGTGAACCTCAGCACTTTGGAAGGCCAAGGTGGGTGGATCACCTGAGGTCAGGAGTTCCAAACCAGCCTGGCCAACATGGCAAAACCCCATCTCTACTAAAAATGCAAAAATGAGCCAGGCGTGGTGGCATATGCCTGTAATTCCAGCTACTCGGGAGGCTGAGGCAGGAGAATTGTTTGAACCCAGGAGGCGGAGGTTGCAGTGAACCGAGATCATACCATTACACTCCAGCCTGGGCAACAGAGTGAGACTCCGTCTAAAATAAATAAATGTGTATAATTCAATGATTTTTACTATATTCAGAGTTGTGCATCCATCACAATTTTAGAACACTTTCATTACTCCCCAAGAAAAGCCCTCACTCTTAGCCGCCAAAACCCCAGTACAGTCTCCCCAGTGCCCTCAGTCCTAGACAACCACTAATTTACTTTGTCTCAGTGGATTTGCCTTTTCTGGATATTTCATATAAATGGAATCACAGAATGTATGATTCTTTGTGACTGTCTTCTTTCATTTGGTATATTGTCAAGGTCTGTCCATATTGTAACATGTATTAGCACTTCATTTTTTTACATTTTATATACTCCATTATATAGCTATACCACATTTTATCCAGTCATCAGCTGGTGGACATTTGAGTAATTTCACTTTGTCTATTATGAATAATGCTGCTGTGAACATTCTTGTGCAAGTTTTTATGTGGACGTATGTTTCATTTCTCTTGGTATGTACTGAAGAGTGGAACTGCTGGATCTTATGGTAAGTCTATGTTTTAACAGTCTGAAAGGCCAGGTATGGTAGGTAGTTCATGCCTGTAGT